TACACTTTAGTATGTTCATTGCACACGCTGTCTAGAATGCCCTTGAACCCCATCTCCAACTATTCAAATACCACTGCTCTTTCCGGGTCCAGATTAAATACCACCTCTTCCAAAAATCCTTTCCCATTCCTCACATTTAGTGACACAAAATTTTGTTACCTAGTGTTTGTTCTCAGTAATAGTTAGCATATGTTCTGAGTGTATTGACACCCAGTGATATAATAAAGTTTCTTGCACCTCTTGTTTTCGTTAGGGTAACTTGGATATAAGTAATAGAAAACCTGTCCCTACTAGTTCAAGCAACAAGGAAAATGTAGTATCTCATGTAGGAAGTCTCAAGGTGACAGGTGCTGAGGCTGATTAATTCAGTGGCTTCATAATGTTAGTGTTGTCAGGGACCCAAGCCATCCTCGGCTTGTTGATCTTGTCCTTAGCTAGCTCTCCTCAGGGTCTCACAATGGCTACTGTAGTTCCAGGCATCACCTCAAGACATGCTAAAACCAGCCAAAAAAGTGGGACTGTTCTTACCTTTAATTTCTTCTGAAGAGTAGGAAAATTATACCAGAATATTATCTCAGAAGATTTTTTTCTCATATGTCGTTAGCCAGAATTGGATCCCATGCCTATCTCTAAACTTTTACTGGCAAGGGAGATAGGATTACCATGACTGATGACTAACCAGGATTTATCCCTGAGTTATACTGGGGGGTGGGGAGAGGCAGGGGATAGAACAGGCAATATCAAAACAAAGGGTAAATTTTAGCTAGTCTCCCAGTCATCTGTTATGCATACAAATCCTCCAAAAGCTTATTGGCTTACAAAAACTATTTTTCACAAGATTCTGGACTGGGTAAGGAGAGGGGTAATTCCCAAGGAAGAAGGGAGGTTTGGTGGGTAGGCAACCGAAAGTATCTCTTTCATGCAACTTATGATTTATTTGAAAGTCAGAAATAGTCACATTTATATTATTCTTTTGGTTGTTCTTTCTACAAAATATGTGTTCAAAATGGTATATATTAATTTAGTCAGTAACAAGTTGATTGGCTGATTCAACTGATAATTTTCTTAGTGGGTGGTAAAATCGTGTTTGCTCTTTTGCTTTGTTTTTCCTTAAATAACGAACCATGTTATGGACTCCACATAGGGGTTTGCCTTTAATAACATTAATGCTTGACTGTATTAAGCCATTTGTGCCCTAAATTCTTTAGACTGTAGACATCTGAGAATTAAGGTCAGAAGGATAGCAAATAATTCCTTTGATAATTTGATAAGTGGATTATTTACCATCAGAATATTACCCTTTTGAAACGTTAAATCACAGGCTCTTGAGGATAAAATTATTAAGTAAGCATTCCCCCCTTTTAATCAGGGCAGGTAGGAAATCGCAACATAACAGTCTTTGTTTCGTAAAGTCACTTCCTTGCCCTAAACAGGCCTTCCAATTCTCTTTTAATTTTCATATGTGTGAGGCAAGAAATTCTTTAGTGGCGGCTATAGTTAGATTCCTATCATTTACTAAAATAATACATGGACTTCCTTTTGTGATGATATCTTCCATCTTCTAATAAATGTATAACTGCCTCTATAACAATACCCAGTCAGATGATGAATGTTCGTATAATAATTCTATCTCTCTCCCCCATTTTTTTTTCCAAGAAGCTCATGGAACTGCTTGCACAAAATCAGATGTATTTCAGCATCATCTCTGTGAATCGTAGACCATGAGGGTCAGAATCACAGCCCTCTAATCTGATAAGTGAAGAAAGTGAGGCCCTAGAGTTCAGAGAACTTTCTGGAAGTTGCCAGGCCAGTCAGTGGCAGAGAAGGATCTCATCATCATGTTTTCTGGTTGATTGTCCTCTACACCACACTCTGCTATTAATGATTAACATTAAGGACAGAACTAACTCTAACCAGGTTATCAAGTCAAAGTCCTGAATAAGAGTAGGCTCTGGGGCACCTGGGAAGCTCCGTGGGTTAAGCCTCTGACTCTTGATTTCGATCAGGTCATGATCTGATCTCAGGGTCGAGGGATAAGCTCCACATGGGGCTCTGCATTCAGTGGGAAGTCTGCTTCTCCCCTCCCATTCCCTCTGCCCCTCCCCCACCACTCCTACACGTCTCCACCCCCCAAATAAATAAATAAATCTTTAATGGAAGAGTAAGTGGCACCCACTCAGCCAGGTCCCTGCAGGGGCAGGGTCTGGCTTATATCCTCCAGATGTACTCTCACCCCCAGCCGGGTACTACCTACATCCCGACCCACAGGTACCTAAGGTCTCCTCAAGTCCCTGTTTCAATACCCACGTGAACCCAGGGTGCAAGGAATGTCCTTGACAAGGTGTTTCCCTCCTCCACTCCTTCTCAGCGTGAGAAGAAAGGGACAAACAGAAGAACGCATCTGTAATGCATTGCTTGCCGTCATAGTACCATCTCGGTGAAGTTAAAGCCAAATTTTAAGAATAGAATCTTTCAGTTCAATCATAAAAGTGGGTTTTTACTTCTCAATGTTAGTTGTATTTTCCCCTTTCAATAATTGTTTGGATTTAGAAACCCTGGGCCTGTATTTTTTCAATATAGAATTATTCCATTGGTGGCATTCACTCAAACCCACAACTCATTTGTTCAAATCGTACATTTCTAAACAGCAGAAAGGAAAATGTGCTCCAATTCACTAATGTTCTTAAACAATTAAAGCACAACTAAGAAAATGAAGCCTAATTTCTCCTCTTCATCCCTTGCCTCCTCTGCTTCTTTGACCAACAATTGCTATAATCCACACTAATGAGGTAGACTGTGTTAAGAATTTTCTTCACTTAACATTTCTCATTATTAATAAATTTTACACTGACAACTATAAAGTGAACACTTTGGATTTATGCACCTAACCTAATTACATATGCTGCATGTACGCATTTCATTATTTACTTGACAGATTCATTCCTTGATATCATAAATAATTAAACAAGAATCAAATATTAACAATCAGATACATGTTAATTCTCCTCAAATCTGTAGAAACAAACTATATTTTTATCTTCAGTTCAACAAGCACTGATTAAAATTTCTTCATTAGGCAAATTTCATAAGCAAAGTTCTTGATCTACTTTTCTTACTTTCACTGAAAATTAAACCTGGAACAAATTATTCCAGGATTACTTCATGGGGAAAAAAATGAATATAACAGTATTTCTAACAAGCCATTGGATTCGTAATCTTTCTCAAGCACGGCTGTATCTTATATATGAAACATTAATCTGTGTGTTTGTTAGGAATTTTCAAATATGGGTTTTATTATAAGCCAGGAGACAGCACCATATTGGTTGCGGGTGGTGTATTACCAGAGCTTCTTGTCTAGTGAGATGATGGTTTTAACCAAACAATAATTTTATAACTTGTTTAAAGAATAATATCTAACCCTATGGATAACGGTAGAACTAAATTTATTGGGGCTGAAAATTTACCCTGAGGTCACAGTATAGCTGTTGCTTTTTCTGCTTTAATGAGCTAGGTTTAAAATTTTTTTATTCAAGTATATCAACATCTTCATTGATCAAAGTATTCTCACATTTTATCAAATTTGCTTTGGTAGAGCACACCATACAATTTCATCATTTAAAAAATATTAAAGATTCATAGATAGCCACATTATTCATAATACAAGATTAATGCCAGGCTGACAGGTTTTTGTAAAGATCTGACTCTTTTTTTCTAAGTGCATATACCATATCTATGTGGAATGTACCTCTGATGTTGCATATTGATTACTCCCTTCTCTTCTCTTCTGATGCTAAAGAGAGAATATTATGGAATGATTGTCAGGGTTAGTGTGTCTCTGACCTACACATGTACTATTAATAATTTATGAGCTGATTTAAAATACAGCACCAAGAAACCAACTGAGGACCACTGCCATTGCCTGGAATGACATACACCCAGGGTTGACATCATTTGCCCCCAGATTTTGAGGTTCTGTTAAAATACACAAAGAGACAAAAATGCTCTAAGTGCCAGAGCTAACTGAATGGAAGGAAGCCATGCTTCTTTGTTAGAAATTTCAAGTAGCTACATTTATCTTGTTTCATCCTACCCTTTCTGTGACATTAGATTTCCTCTTTAAATTATTTAATTAGATTGTCAAGTGAGCTCATAGCATCTAAAAACATTAGAGAATCTAAATTCAAGGAATAGGGAGGTATATAAAGCAAAAAGATCAGGGCTTTCTTCTTATTTCCCCCATGCTTTCACACCCAGAGGTTGTCTGATGAGTATCCTTCCAGACTGTTCTGGGCTCATTTAAAGATAGAGGAGATGGGGAGGAAGAGTTCCCCCTACCCTCAAAAACGGTATCACACTCTACATACTGTGATGCAATTTGCTTTTTTCACTCAACAATCTATCAAAGACATGCCCTGTATCAGCACATACATTTGTAGCTCACATTTTAAACAACAGTATAGTGCTCCATTTTATAGAGGTGACATGGTCCATTTATCCTTTCCCTCATTAACAGAGTGCTAAGCTGTCTCCGATTTTTCACGATTAAAAAACAGTGCCACATACACTGAACATACATGCTTATGCACTTGCTCAACTGTTTCACTGAGAGCACCAAAAGTGGAATGGCTAGGTCAGTAACTGATTTTTACAATCTCCTTGATCCAGAGTTCCTGGCCAGCTCAGTCAGTAGGGCATGTGACTCTTGATCTCAGGGTCATGAGTTTGAGCCTTGCATTGGGCGTAGAGCTTACTTAAAAAAAAATAATAATAATAAAACTAAAATCTCCTTAATCCATCAATTAGGCAAAGATAAATATTCCTCTTTAGGGTTTAAGTATAACAACATTGCATTAATAGGTTTGCACATAACATTTAAGTCCATTTTCTTAGAAGTATAGTTTTAAAACTTGAATAATATGAAATAATTTAGGAAAAGATCATCTAAAGTTTTAATTATATTAATTTCATGTGTGAGTAGCTTTATGCAAAAGCAAACTAAAGTCTAAGTTGTTCTTCGTGTTTTAGCAGTATGTCATCCAGCCACATGTCTGTCTGTATTATTTTTTTTTTTCAGAGTTCAGCATGAGTACTTTTATATAACTGAAGGAAATTAAGCCACATACGTTGAAGATGAACTGCTGAGAAAATAGTACATTTTAAAAAGGAGATTCCTATAATCAATTGACCGTTCCATTCACATTAAAGCACTCATAATTGGAGTATTTTTTATTTTATGTACAATGAGTTGACATTGAAGTAGGTATCCTGGTTATCTGCAGTTAACGTAGGTTATCTTGGATGACCAATTCAAGGAAGTTCACTTAATCCAACTTAATGAAGCCTATATCCTTCGCGTACTGACGGAAACACTGGCGGCACATATTGAGGCCGTATTTCCGGATCAGACCGTGCCGGTTTGAGCAGAAGCGGCAAGAACGAGAACCCTGGCCAAATTTCCTCGGATGGCTCCAGTACAGCTGCTGGTGACCCATCTTGCTCTCTCGGATGCAACGAGGCAAAAGGACCTGTCTGTATTATTTTTAAGATCAACACCCAAAGCAGCCAGTCTTCATTTTAGCAATGTTACATGTAATGAACACGTTTAAAGTGTGTTTATGGAGATTGACAACTGTTAAACTACTGAATGTTTTTTTTAAATATATCCAAAGGATTTTATGTGTGAAAACATTTCATCCACAAAATCTAATTAAAAACAGTATTGTTATGTTTATTTGAAACCATCACAAGTTAAGTATATTTGTAAAATTCTCTGCTTTTCCCCTAAATTGTTTGAAGTTTTCTTCAGTGTAATGGTTACCTAGTATGTCTGTCAAGTTCCATTATATGAAGCAGAATATGCTTTCAGAAAAGATGCCTTGCATCCGATGACAGGCACTTCCTAACTGCTAGGATTCATAAAAATTGGAACATTGATCATTTCATGTAGAGATTTTCTTTCACAAGAAGATAAAGGGAAACCTTGTTATGCCAAATGACTTACTAGTCAAAAGTATCCAGGACACTGAAACCTGGAAACTAGTTAATGGTTTGTAACAAGTCAGAAATAAAGATGTTCAACCAAGAAAATGACATTAAGCAGCACTGGCTACAAGAGAAAAGAGCAGCCTGTCAGAATCATGTAAGGGCTGTGGTGACAGGAAGACAATAAAATGGGATGACACCCGTTTCTCTCACTGGGGGTGTTTTCAACAGCTTTCTCTTGAGAGTTTCCATGTACTTCCTTTGCAGGCGACCTTCCCTCTAAAATGGCAGCGGACCCGTTGGAGGTCTTATTAAAATTCTCCTTCTGTGTTATAAAATACGTTATATAAGGCAGATGGCTGTAGCTGAAGAGTTAATTCTTCATTGCATAAAGGCAAGTGGGGACAACGGTCTTTCCAATAAGATAGCTCCTCAGCTGACATATCCCAGCAATACTGCACGGTAGGCATCATGAAACAGGAAATGAGTCAGGGGAAAGTCAGTCCACAGCACCACCTAAAATGGCGGACAGCACAAATCCAAACAGAAGCAGTATGGCACATAATTAATATTTCATACTCAGATTGGTAGCTATATATCTGCAAATGAATTCCACATACTAGCTTAAATCTCCACAGTTTATAGTCCAACAGCACCATTAGGATGAACACTGTTTTCATTTTTAAGAGACATTTTCTTTCATTTACCCTCATCACAAAACCGCAATGGTAAGAGCATACCTCTACTGACCTCACTATGGGCTTGAAGGCTATGTCATCGAAGACCAGGAAGAAAGCAAAGCACCCAACTAAGTCCCCAATAAGTTCTTTAATACCAGCAATTTCAAGGAATGAATGAATCTACCTGATCTAAAATAATACTACCGGTGTTTTTTACTTAACCCTGTCCTACTGTAAAGTTATATCATTTCATATATGTCTATTTAAAGTGTTATAATACCCCTGAACTAATTTCCAATAAAGTAATAGCTATTAGAACAGTTTTCTAAACCATTTCTCTTTTTAAAATTCTATTTCCAACATATTTTTAAGTTGTATGACAAAATAAACACTTCATAACCCTTTGCAGCTAAGTTTTTTTCTACTAATGTCATTTCAACCGGTGGGAGGTCTATATTTTCCACACTGCAGTTCTACATCTAAAATTATTTCTGATATGGATTAGCTGTCCCTTAGTGAGCTATGAAAGACAAAATCTTAGTGTCTTTAACCCTGTCTTATTTGACAGCAAGCACATATTTACATGAAATAGAAAGCAAATATTTGTTCTTTTCATACAGCTGTCAGCGCAAACTTGGGTTGTTTGGAAACCTGTTCACACACACAGAATTGGTGTTTAATACATGACATATGGTAAAAGGTAAACGATAGGTAAAATCAGAGATTATTTAAAAGAGTTGACACGCATTTTTGGAACAGAAGGTGATGGTGTTATGCCATAAATTATATAGTCCATTGACAATGAGAACTTCGTTGTGCATTCATTTGATTGTTTGTTTAAGAAAACATAGGTTTGATTTAGTTGCTCGCTTGCCAGAGTATCAACTTTGGGTCCACTCGCAGGGATAGGTATAAGAAAATGTTGTTTGTTACCCTAAAATATTTCCAATTAAAGTTGCTTTTCAGCTCTTTCCTCCAGGGGACTTTCTAATAGCTAATGGGAACATATTCTGAAGTCAGGCAAGCTGAGCATTCCTGTTATTACTGCCACCTAATCCCCCCCCAACCCTAGGCACACCACCCAACAAAGTCAAGCTTCTGCTTTAAGAAACTGGTGGCTCCTGAGTATGCAGGAGCAGTGATTGACCAAAAGATGCTTTCAGGGGTACATTTACTTTCCTCCTGCCTCCAGGATTTGCCCTATCCTGGGGCCAAACTTCACCTGCCCCTAGATGCACTCTGTTCTGAAGCCCCAAAGACAGAACTGTTCTGCTTCCTGTGGACAGCATCCCATCTGCTGAACACACATTTTAATAAGTAAACTCTATTTCCAGGGAAATACCTATTGGTATTAACAAGAAAATAGCATCTCTCTACAAGATTCTCTGAAAAGAAATCCTGTCAATGCCACTCATTCTACCTTCAAAGACAAGTCCCTGTAATTACTTTCTCCTCTTCGTTTCCTTGTCTGGATAAAGCAACAAGATCAAGAGAGCCTATCCATTTTCCCCAGATACCTTCTAAAATGTGCGTCTGCTTTGCAGGCTGGGATCAGAAATTTCATTATCTGTATTTGTATTAGTAATTCACCGCACAAAGAGAACAGGGGGCAGAGGAGGAGAGCAAGCATGGAAGCAAACATCAGACAGACAATTGTATATATGCAAATGCTTGCAAATTTCCACCAGCATCTCCATATCTATAACCAAGCAACATGGAAGCCTATTCATCCCTCATCTTCTTTGCTGCCAAATATGGTTGTGGTTTTGGAGGAAAATATTGAGAAAACGTTGAACTTTCAGCCACCAGGGCTAAATCTAACTCAAAGCCTACTACATAAAAGGCCAAATATAAAATGCATAAATATAATCAGTGATTTTCTAGAAAGACATGAGATACGCAACCTCCTGGCTACAGAGGGTGGGAAACAATATGCTCCGGCAGGGGGCAGGGGAAGGAAATCATTGCATGCAGCTCTCCAGCCCAATTGACAGGGAACTGAAATGTTGCCTCTTGGCTTGGGGTTGTGTATTTGCATAAGCAGCCTGAGCAAGAAGGGGCATGGAAAACCGGAATCAGGCATGATGAAGAAAATGCCCCAAATTTGAATGCATAATACACAATGTACTCCCTTTCAAGTGAGTATCCGTGGCGACTGAAAAATGACAGCAGGACTCATCATGTATTTTGTTTTGTCTTGAAATCAATCAGTCCCAAATAATAATGGTTCTAGACATTTTTGTGACTTTCTTTATTCTTATATATTTATTCTACTCACTGCAAATCAGTAATAAGAGTAATAATTCACACCTACACATTCATTTCATATGCAGTAACTCAGCTCACTTTCACGATCATGCTCTGAGGTAGGATCGGTATTATACTCATTGTACAGGTAAAGAAAGCAAGGCTCAGATGTTCAGAGATTTTCATCACTAATAAATGACAGGACCGGAACTCAAATCCTCATGATCTCCGGAGCCCCAGGGGCTACCACATTATGCTGCCGAGCAACACTGTCAAAGAGAATTCATTGCAAATGTAATGGAAACGGCCATTTTTTTTTTTTAACCTCTCAGCAACATCTGACCCTGCTGCCCACTCCTGCCTTCTTGAAACCCTCTGCTTCCTTTATTCTTGGGAATTGTTCTTTATTGATTTGCCTTCTGCCTCATAGACTTTCTCAATCTCTTCCAAGATTTCCTCTTCCTTGGCCTTCTGTCCCCTTCTCTTAATTTCCACCATCAGTGAGCAATCTCGTCCACTTCTATTCTTTCGTTTATTCCTTCAACAAATATCTCTTAGGCACCTCCGGTGTGCAACGCACTAGTCTGGCCACAGAGGATAGCACAGTGAACAACAGTGAGCTCCCTGCACAAATAAAGTTTATATTGTTGGGTGGGTGCAGAAGAGACAGATAAAAACAAATAGATAAGTAACATGGATATCGGTGGTGAGCACTGTGGAAAATACAAAGCAAAGACGAGGAATAGGGAGGGACAGGGTAAGGGAGTCGAGAGGAGATTGCAATTTTGGGGTCAAGGCAGGCCTCACTGACTAGACATTTGTGCAGAGATGACCTCTGTTGATCTCCTCTCAGATGATTCCAAATTTCCACCTTTGACCTCTCTGCTGAGTCCAACCCCACACTGGCACTTCCAAACACGCCATCTCTTCCTGTACCCCCACCCCCAAGTCATCACCGCCACACTTGAATTCACCCGCCCCTCCTCTTCCTCTTGCACCTCTATGCCCCCAAATCTGATTAACAGCACTGCCCGCCCCTTACATCACACATACACCGTCAATAAATGTGTAAGGGGCATCTTCGAGGCGAGTGCACCATTCAAGGTGCTAAGAGAATAGATTGATCAATAAGAGCCATTTTCTTCTTAAGAGCAGTGTCTAGGGAAATCATATAGGGAAATGACTTAGGATTTATCAACAGACCTGTGTTCAATTCCAACTTTTCCATTAATTGGCAGTAGGTTCATCTCTACACTGGGGATAATGGTACCTACTCCTATTAATGTTATAGGGATTAAACTCAGCAATGCCAGGAAAGTGAGCCAGTGAGTGAATGAATGAATAAATCAATGAATGGTGTTCTTCCTGCAGTGCTCGAGGTGAGAAGTATTTAAGAGGTTTGCGATGATGCCATCAAGGCCCATTCTCTTATCTCTCAGCTCTGTTGTTTCTCGTGTGGCCTCATTCTCAGGCAGGCTCCCCTTACAGTGGCAAGATGGCATCCCAGAGTTCCAGGCTTGCACCCTCGCCCAGTCACTCCAGAGCATGAGAGTTTCTTTTCTTCATGAGTGCACAAAAATCATGGGTTCTGCTAGAGTCATGTATCCACTCCTAAGCCAATCACTTGGGCCAGGGAAATACCGTTGCTCTGACTGGCCAGGCATGGAGGCTGAATCAGCCCCACTCTGACCTGAGAGTGAAGAGGGGTGGCCCCTGAGGAAAAGCAGACAAGACATTCTGTCTTGTATTATGGTTAGATGTTTCCATGTGTATCGGCCCTCAGATGGAAAGCCCCTGAGAACAAGGACTATCTGTTTGTTATCATTGTGTCCCCGAGACCCAGGACAATCCTTGAATATAGTACAAGCTCAATAAATGTTTCTTGGCATGAATTGATTCATTAAACTAGTTTAAATTAGTTCTTTTGCTCATTTTAAGATCTGTGGTGTCTCATTCTTTTTATTACCTGAAGATACATAAGGTCTTAAACATACATACACCTTTTAACACCTTACAAGACAGGATTCCAACAGCAGAAGCAAATAAACCATCTTCATAATTTACATATATATTGACTCTCCTCCAAAATCATTATCTCAGCTAATTTCACACAGGTGAGACAGAAGCAAGATTCTGTGATGACTTTCTAAGCCACTGCATTTTGCTGTTCTGTTTTTGTTCAGCAAATGTTGCATTTGCTAAAAATTCAAGAGCGTAAGACTCACTATAGCCTTTCACAGGGTATCAGTATCATCAGCAGTTGTCATCATTTGGATTTTACTGCAGCCTAGAAATGTCCTTAGTCTTCCCTTGAGCTATTTCACTTCAATCTCTGTGGCCTCTCTCAAGGACCCCCTCCCCCAAATCCTGTGATCTCAAGTGTGGCATTTTCTCCTCTGTCCAGGGCACACAGCCACCCCCTGGATGCTCTGCCCAGTCTTGCTTACAGCTAGATGTGGTCAGGTGACCGAGTTCTTACCAAGGGACACATGGTGACATCAGCAACTTTCAGATAGCTTCTTAAAGGGGTTTGAGATTTGATTTAAAATAATCCAGCAAAGGAGGAAGGCATATTTAGAGGATGTAAATGGTGTAAGTTCTACCACAGGAAGGTGACTTCGAGTGATGGGCACATGGGAGTGTATTATACTCCATTATCTTTATTTGTGTGTATGCTTGAGGATTTCTATTGACAAATAAATCAAAATAAATGAAAATGCAATGAATTAATTAAGTAAATTAATTAAAAGGTGCTTTGCCCCAGCTGTTCTCACCTTTCCATCTTTAAGCTAGACATAGGAGTGAATGGGGCAATGTTGGAAAGCACTCGTTGAGGATGGCAGGGCCACACCACCAGCCTGGGTCCCTGAACAATTTCCTGGGGCAGGGCTTGCCTACCTGTGGTGGAGAATTCCCGAAAGAGACATCGATTTCTCGCTCAAGGCCACTGCTCCTTGGGCTCTCTTTATTATGATGATAGTGTTCTCTACATAACTCCAGCTCCTGATTTACTTACATTCTATATCAAAACAGTCTCCTTTCCTCTAACAGACAGTATAATTCACCTGCCTTCACCACTCTTTTACCTTTTTCTGGTTCCCTTCAGAGTCAGAAGTGTGACACAACTCAATACATGTTCACTATGGCTATGTTTTTGCTCCTCTGGGGGGGCCGGCTCCACAAGCTCCACAAGAACCTCGACTGCACTAAGACAACCTGACATTAAATTGCTCACAATCCACCTCACTGTCGAAACTCTTGCAAAAATGCCATGTTTGCGCTCGGACGTCTACTATTTACCACAGTTATGGACAAACTTGATTCAGAAAAGGACCATACATTATTACAGCAAAACTTAGGATGAAATAGTCACATTGAGAACATTTCAACTAGAACATAAAAGGTTTTTTTGCCACCCCCCCCCCATAAAATATGGTTGTATTCTATGGGGCGCCTGGGTGCCTCAGTCAGTTAAGCGTCTGCCTTCGGCTCAGGTCATGATCCCAGGGTCCTGGGATCGAGCCCTGCGTCCGGCTCCCTGCTCAGCAGGGAGTCTGCTTCTCCCTCTTCCTTCGCCTGCCACTCCCCCTGCTTGTGCTCGCTCTCTCCTGCTATCTCTCTCACTCTGTCAAATAAATAAATCAAATCTAAAATATATATACACACACCCCGTAAGGTGCCCCCAACCCATTGACATGACAGCCTTCCCCCGCGCAGATCCGGCTCAGTCCCACGCCGCTCGCAGGACTTGGCAATTTGTGTGCTCGGAGGGCATACCCGCTCCAGAGGCAAAGTTTCGGCCCTTCCCTGGCCTCACCCAGGCTTCTGACACATTGACCCTGAGCTCAAGTGATCCAGCTGTAGACTGGGCCTCACGGGTAGCCTGAGGCACATGGATTTAAAATAATTTTCTAAAAAGAGCTGTTAATCCTTGTAGTGGATTACCAAAGGTCAGTCTCTTTCTCCAGTGGTCCTTAGAAATAAGGTTGATTTTCACATCGTGGCTTTAGGTAAATTCCCCTGAAGGTCAGAGGAGGAAATTGGTAGACCTATAGCTAGGAAAGTACAAAGGGGATGCAAACTACCGTTTCTTATTATTGAACCTAAAAAAATTAGGAGTTTCAAGCAGCTGTATCAGCAGGGGTAAACTATGGGGTTCCTCTGCTCACTTCTGCGAAGGGAGAACGATACCTCGTGAGTAGAGCAGCCGGCTCCCACCTTTGTCCCCAGCATACCCACATCCACATGCCCACCCCCCACCCCCCACCATCACCCAGCCCCCCACTCCCCTGCCCCTGCTCCACAGAAGTCTGCCTTTGCCCGACCACATGAGCTCTGGCTGTGCAGGCTGGAATTAGCGTGGGCAGGAACCAAGAGGATCGGAGATTGTCCTCACCAATTTATACGAGAGAAGAGCAAGGGATGGATACGGCAGGATGGAGAAGAGGGGGAGCAAGACAAGAGCCAGTGCGGGCTGGGATTGGGAAGTCTGCACAGTCACCAAAGTTGTCAGAAGTTAAAAAAAAACTGACAAGGAATGTGAGGGGCGCGCGCACGTGTGTGTGTGGTGTGTGTGTGTGTGTGTGTGTGTGTAGAGATAGACCGAGACAGAAAGTTTGGGGGCTAAAATTAGATTCTTTTGGTGTTTTTTAGGAGACTTCAGTAAAATTCTAAATTACTTTTCAGTTCCTCTTTAAAAATCTGTCTGGGCTTCAGCTTAATCAGGGTGATATGACAGAACAGTAGCCAACCGGAGGAAATGTTAGCCCGTCCACGGAGTCAGATCTTCCCACTTGAAATCACCCACCAATTTTCAGAAGTCATGCTACTGTATACACCCTGCACTGGGCACAGTGTCTTATCAGAAACAAGTTGACCAAAAGAAATATTTGATCAAAATGTTTCATTGAATGGTCTCGTTGATCAAAGAAAAAAGTCATCTCAAGCAAAGCATTTCTTGACTGCCATGCAGAAGTTACGAATGGACAATCATGTTACCATCTCAAGGCCCACTACAGTCGAGAAATGAGAAACAGAGGTGCTGTAACAGAGGGTTCTCATGCACCCTCAGGACGATCAAAGTTTCCAAGTTCAAGGAGGTAAAGAGCTCTGAATTACCTGCTCCCACTCCCCAAGCTCTTCTTCTTTTGCTGGTTCTGCCACAGGAAAGAGGCTTGAAGAGGGTCTGCAGGCCTTTCGCCCACCCCATGGCAGTAATTCATCACTGCCTCTAGAATGCGCTCTGTATCCAACTGTAGGCCGGTGGTGGGTGGTAGGGGGTAGGAGGCAGAGATGAAAGGCGGTCCTCCCCCTCCAGGAGCTTCTGCCTGAACAGAGGAACGGACAGACGGTGACCCACCATGCAGAGCAGGAGGGAGAAGTGCTACCAGAAAGGCACGTGGGGATATGGGGTTGGTCGTGGGTCTTGTTGCAGAAAGGGTGTGGTCAGAGTCAACATCAGTCATCAGCATATAGGAGACAGAACACGAGTCCTGAGTAAGTAGTAGGAATTAGCCAAGCAAAAAGGCATTGGGAGGGAAAACGGAAAAGACCCTTCCAAGCAGAGGGAAGTGACTTCCCTTCATCAGCACTTCATCAGCACTTCACACCTGGCCTCAGTTGTATCATTATCCTCATGCTATAAACGAAGAAACAAATTCCATAAGGTTAAGTGACCTATTCCCCGGTCACTTATCTTGTAAGCAGTGAAACTAAGGTTTAAACTTAGTACCACACTCCCTGCCTCTTTATAGAACTTGCTCTCTGAAGGGGAATCCTTCTTATTTAGTGATACTCACATATTCCTCACACCCTACCTCAGGAACACCTAGGGTGAAAGCAAGTGCCCCTTATTCATTCTGGGAAGAGGTCCAAACTATTATAGGTTCAAAAAATCATAGCATTTTAGATGATCTTCTTCAAATCAGTTTAAGGAAACTTCATAAAGAAGCCCCCCACCCCCGGCCTCTCTCACACACAAATACTTAAGAGATTCACAGTGTATATTAATATATGAAAGGCACTGACAAGTCCTGCAGAAAAAAAATTAATGTTAAATTTTATTTAACACAATGTGCCTAAAATATAACTGACTATGGAAACCTTCAACCTACCTCCTCTTTTTTTTTTTAAACAACACTTATTAACACCTTTAAAGACATTCTGCGTTCTGTATCCAATCTTCTTATTGCAGTGATGAGGAAACTGCAGTCCAGAGGGCTTGGGAGCTACCTTTGAGTATGTGCTAGTAGCCGAGTCAGAACTCAATTCACCAGACTTCCTTCCAGTCAACACTCTCTCTGACAAATCATGCTTCAATATGTCCATTCCATACTTCCAACACATAAACAGTATGCAGAGCACATGAGTTGATAACCTTGTAATTGTCAACTTACAAATTACCCTTTACAAAAAAACACAAAGAAATCCGTAGGTGAGAGCTGAAATCATGTATACAAGTTTGAAGTGTGTTTATATACACTATTAATCGCCCTTGTCATGGTTTATATTAGTTATCCAAGTCTTGCTGATATCAACTGTTGATCTTCACAGCCTTCCCACTGAAATACTAATACCAATAACAACTACTAGCTCTCTCAATGAGAAGGATAACATTAACATATTGATGCCAATTTCTAGGGTTTATCTTTATGCATTCACTTAAATGGAACCAAACTGAAGAAATCAGTCGTTAACAAGATAATCACAAAACAAATCTTTGTACCAATACTGTGTTGCTAGATCAAATCTATTATTACTAACTAAAAAGAAAATTCTTTACTTGGCAATTCAGATGGAATCCAGACAGTACAAAAAAGGGAGGCGGGGAGGAGTGGAAATCTTTTTGTTTTGTGAAGATTTATGTTATGACAATATTTGTTATATAAAAATTTAAGTTTTGCTTGAATGAAAGTTTTTTAAAGGTAATATACAAGTGAAAAAACGCATTTCAAGAGTAGTCAGTGCCCAACTTTGGAGAGTATTTATGAATAATAATGTATTGGGAAAGGTCAATTGGGCTTTCTGTCTAAAAAGTTAAATATTCAGTGCCTGCTTCTGCATTTGTTACCAAAGTCTTCTTTATCAGTACAAGGAGGCAAATGATACCCTGAAAATGTTTTAAATGTGCAACTTTGCTTATCTTCCTATATTAATGATCCCTAAGGCGGTTGTTATGTTAACCTTCTCACACAGCACAGCAATAGGGGAAAAGTACTGTGAAAGGAAGGAAAAGAAAAGACATTTAGTTTAATCTTGAGCCCCTTTCTTCAACCTAGCCATTTTCTGATTGTCAAGGGGGAAAAATGAAAGTTAGGTTTTTAGTGGGTTTTCTTAAAATCTCAAAAAAGAAATTAGACATTTCCAAAGGGGTGATTCACTAGACATCATATACTGTGAGGGGACAGAGATTAGATGATCAAATGAAAGGCTCATTATGTGATTTCTGAGTTTCGTGAGGTCCATGAAAGAGCTCTGAGCAGGAGACAGTGAGTGGCTCCTGAGAAAGCCAGGCTCTCCTTCAAGTCTCTGAATTGCCCATTGGTGGCTACGACATTACAAGAAACACCATTTGCCCCTCAGAGGACTTCTGTATCCTTCCTCATACAGTCTCTGTGTTCACATAGAGGAAATTCAAAGGCTCAGTCTTTTCAGCCCTTTTAACTTTGACAACAATACCAAACCTGACCCTGAGACCCCTCTACCTTCTCATTCTTTCAAGGTGCTTGGGAAACCACCTAACTTTATGATTGAAATTAATGTTTCCATTCAACTGCAAATGCTGGAGCTCAACACACATGCCAGCAGAGTGAACACAAGCCCCTTCCGCTTCTTCAGCCAGGTAATACGGCTCTTCCCTTTTTTTTTTTTCATTATCCGTTTAATGCAGAGCAGGGCTACTGATTACAAAGAGGCAGTTTGACTCCAGCAATAGGTCTTCTTCACTAATCCTCACTGTCACGGAAATTCCAGCTGCTACAAGAATAAGAGGTTCAATCCATATTTGCCAGCTCTAATATGAAATCTGTCAGAGCCCAAATTAATGAGTTCCAAATTCCTTACATCACGATAACAGGTTAAGACTGGTCAATTAATTACATAAATCCTTCCCGATTCATTGTGCGTTTGCAGGCCAGATTGTGTCTTACATTACTCCATGACACAAGGCCTTTTGGCTCCTGTTGTTCTGCAGAAAGGCCCCATTTAATTGGAGGCTGCCTGCCACGGCAAAATGTTAAATGTCACACGTTAAATTTGCACTTTTCTGTAATTGCTTTTGTTAAAAAAAAAATTAAATTAAAGCACAGGGCTCCCAGTACACCATGATGCAGAGGGCTGGGATGGTACTGAATGGATCCCCAGGCACGCAAGGAGCTACCTTTTACCTCCAAGGGTTCACATGTCTCTGTGCCAGGTGCGTAGTAGGCAGTGGAACCCAGAACGTGCGTATTTGTGGAAATAAACCAAGTTTCCCCAGGATCTGTGGCAGCAAAAATATACATTTGGAAGATTCTTTTCTTTATGAAAGGATTAAAATACCATTCTTTACATTGCCAGATTCCCTTTTGTCTACCAACAAAAGTTAGATAAAACACTGTTGATCTAATCACCTGTTCAGGAACCTGCATTGTACAAGTGAGTGTGTGTTACACTTTTGTAGGTCTTTGCCTCCAAAAAGATGTTGCTGATGGCTTGCTATTTGTATTTGTAACTGGTACACATCTACAGAGGGAAAATCATTGAACTCAAAGGAGTTCAAAAATCATCCAAGTCAAGTTTTCCTTTTTAAAACATCAAAATGAGCTTGGAATCACAGCTCATTTGAACTAGACCTAGAACTGTGGACTTCAGCTTCCTAGGGCGGCCGGTCTTCACCCCAGTACCGCTCCTTGTGGAATGGACTTGCGTGGGCCTAAGGGCTCGGTATTGAATGGAACCAGTCCCCGGATGCTTCCTGCATCATCTCGTTGAGGGCTGGGGGATTCTGCGAATACACGAGCGAGCAGACGATACTCCTAAACACGGACTGAAATCTATGTGGGGCGCAGGTTCCTTCCACCTGGAACCCCTAACACCACTCCACCACGCGGACAACCAGCCCGACCCCAGGCGGCGCGTTCTCCCGCGGGCAGGTGCCGCCACGGCGCTGCCCCGGCAGCGCCTCCCTCTGTCCTCCCGCGGCCTTGCACCGCGTTATGCCACCGGCCGCGCACCTCTTTCTTCCAGGCGAAGAACACCGCCCCGCTTCTGGGCCCGCAGCCTAAAGCGGTGGAGGACTTTTGTCTGCCCGCCTGTTCCTCACCCCCCTCCCCCGCACACACAGACATTAAACTCTGACCCACGGCCGTTCCTGGACCCGGAGGCACGCGCTTCTACCCCGGGGCCCAGTCCCGCCACCAAGCGCGACTGTCCCCTCCCTCTCCAGACGCGGGGAGGCGAGTTAAGGCGACGGTGCGTCCGCCCAGCAGGCTGTGAGGTCCTGGCGAGACTGGAGAGGAAAGAGGTTTAACTAATGAGTGCGGTGCGTGCTTAGATAACACATAGGGAGCGCGGGGGTTGTGCCCCAGCCTCGCCGCGACCCCGGGGCACTCGCGGGGCCCCGCCAGGCCTCGCCGCCTCCAAGCCCGGGCGGCACGCCGTCACACCCTCTCTCGAGCCGGCTGGCGGGGCCGGGGGCCGCAGCGCCGCGAGCATCTGCAGAACAAAGACTCCGGTCTAGACCGCAACAACAACGCCGCCGCTGCCGCCGCCGCCTCCCCCGGCTCCCGCGCGGCCGACCCCGACCCAGCCGTCCCGAAACCCACCGGAGCGGCGGGGTCGCGGCTCCACGCGCGCTCACAAACCCAGCGGGGCCCCAGGAGACTACTGAGCCCGGAGGCCTGGGGCGGGGGGTGGGGGGGCATCGCTGTTCCAAGCACCAACCCCCCCCCCACCGAGGTCCCTCTGCATTCTCGTTTTCTTATTTTCCAAGCAGCCAGAGTTGTCATTTGCACATTGGGAAGGGGGCCTCGCGGTGCCCACGCCGGCGGCAGGTGGGGCAGGGGAGAGGGCGCTGCAGGTTTGTGCTGTAAATCGCTCTTTTTGCGGTCGTTGTTTCCACTCACCACCCCCCGCCGCCCCCGCCCCGCCCCGCCCCGCCCCGGGGTTTCTTTTTTTTTCCCTTTCCGCAGCGCAGTTGCTATGGGTTACCAGGGCGGTTGCCATGGGTTACCGGACGGAGGCCGGCTGGCTCGCTACCTGCCACCCAGTCGCCGCCGCAGCCCGGGCGGGAGGCGGCGGGAGCGCGCGTGTGCGGGACGCGGCGCGGGGGAGTGTGCGCGAGCCGCCGAGGCGCCGCAGCCAACAGGCGGCCGAGGGTGCAGCGGCGGGAGCGCCACCGCCAGTGGGGTGGGGGCAAAGCTATAAAGAAGACCCAGAGGTAAGAAACTAACATAAACACAACCACAAGTTATGCCCGTGCTGTGCCTCTACAGCAGCCAAGACAAACGGTGTGGGGTTTGGGATGAATCTACACTTCTGTGGCGGGGCAGAAAGGGTATTTTCCTCCTTAGCAGAAGCCATTTGCATAGTGTCTTTAGACTAGAGTTTACATTCAGCAGATAACTGTGGCTTAATTTTTTTCCCCCTCTTCTCTTCTCTTCTCTTTATCTTTTGAAAAGAAGTCTTTGGAATTTTGGAGAAAGAGAAAAGGATCATTAACTACCAGGGTTTGCGCAGCTAAAATAGTGTCCAATTCAGTGTTCATAATAATGATCTAGAAAAGTTTGCAACAAGAGTGAAGAGCAATTCTGTCTGACTTCAAGGGACAATGGTGACTCATTTGTGAGATGCATATGGCAAAGAATGGAGGCAAAGGCCTTTGTAAATATTTCAAATTTTAAAGAAATTGTTGCTTGCTTCCATTCTTCTACAATTTTTGAACTCCATTATAGTGTATTAATGTCTTAGGACTTTTATTTGCAAAGAAAATTGTATCTATGCTTTGAATGTCACACTGCGGTAATTAATTTCAGACGGCATTTCTTTTTGAAAATGTGTTTATGTATAATAAAGTAAGAAAATGTCTATATTCTAAACAAAAAGAGAAAATTATGTTGAAATAAATGGTTTTCTCCATTGAAAAGATGCTACATTGAACTCATAGGACACTAAGCAATTTAAATATTAAGAGGAAAACTATTTAGAAACAGAATAAGCTTTTGTTTTGTTATTTTTGTCTTAAAACTGTAGGGGACTTTCATGGAAAAGGGTCTTCTTGATAGCTGAAATACTGAAAACTGTATTTGTACCACAGTAGCTCAATAATGATGAACCCTTAAGGCACCAAAAAAACAGAGTTCAAAACAGCATTCAATTTACTGTTGGATATAACGGTAATTGTGAGTAGGCTATGTAAATTTATGTTCTTAATAGCCATAAAAGAAATTTTATTCTTTTACCTTATTATAGTAAGGTTATGGCATATCTCGTTTGTATTTAATTATTCAGTAAAATGTGCATTAGGCTTGAAAAGCTCCTGCAAGATACTTAATATCTTAAGGGACATTACTACTTAAAAATAAACATTTCTGTTTTTCCTTAGTAATTTTTAAAAACTTGAAATTTTAACTGGAATCCAGATCACTTTCTTCCAAGTGAGACTTTAAAGAAGCCTAAGTAACAGGTTGTTGACTTTCATTGTTGACACCTCTGGGTTATGTATAAAATCAGTTCTCAAACAAAACACATAAAATGGCTTTACAGGTGAATCATTTACCCTTTCAGAATTAGCCAGGGAAATACAGTTTTGCTGTATGTAAATCATAAAGCATCCAAGATTAGAATTCTTTAAAATTAAGTTCCATTAAAGATAGTTTTAAATAAACATCTATTTAATTTAGTTACTTAGTAATTATGTTCTTTTCCTAGAGAAAGCTTTATAAAAATATGCCAGAGAAAAATAAGGGACTAGAACAAAGCCAGAAAGCCACTGGGGGCTGAAGTTCACCTCAATATCTCAGCTGCAGAAAATCAGTTTTAAGAAGCCAGTGCTTAGATATCACAACCACCAAACCAAGGCTAAAAGCCTCAAATGTGCACAACTATAGTGACTATTAAACCAGATCTTACCAAAGTTTCTCACTAAAATTTACTGCTTGTTCAAAAACACACTGAATTTAGGTGTAAGTCAGAAGAAATCTATCCTCTTCTATAAAATAAGTGAGCCAACAAACTGAACTTGATTTTTTCACGTTTAATGTGAAAACGATGATCTTATGAAGTTTACATACCACAGTAGTAGGCATACTTAATGTCAATTTTGATGGCTATGTTACATCATCTAAAAATAATATGATAATCGGTGGCACATTACATGCTTCTCAAAAACTGCTGTAAAACAGAAATGATGTGAATTCAAATACACATTGCCAGCAAGCTAAGGATCGCTCTTAAATGACTGGATGGCAAACTTCACACGTTAGCAAGATAAAAAGAAATTGCTAAATCTTTTTTCCCCTGTATTAAAATAATAAGTCTCAGATGATAAAGTAACAAGATCTGAGATACATTAAATCAAAATATTTACAAAAGCTCAATAATGTTTTGGACCAAACAAAACACAAGAAGGAAAAATTAAGATCATTCTTATTCTAAATTTAATTTTTTTCTGTTCTTAGTTATGAGCATTTCAAAGACTTTTTAATAATACAGTAACTTTTAAATTCCCAGTTAAAATAAAACGAGGTGAGGTAACATTTAATTAAAGCAACAAGTCGTTTCGGTTATGTAAAAATATCTTCCTGGTGGTTTCAGAGATATTTCATACCATTCAATGAAGAAGAAACTTGGATAATTATCTCAAGAAAATGCTGCCTCATCTGAAATTTGAAGTTCAGTGTAGTTTATCTAAGACCTTTTATCTTTGGGCCACTAAAAAAGAAGACATTTTATTAAATGTACCAATCCTCAGGCAGACACCTTTAAAGAAAGGGCTTTTTAAAAATGAATAATTCTTAAATTAGCAAGTTGACATTCTTTTCTAAATTACGGGAATATTTATTGATAAACTTACTAATTTTTATAAGATCCCACTTCTAACTTGAAAATAAGTGACAAAGAACCACCATTGACACTGAAAGTTACCTAGTGATAAGAAATTGCACATTTAGTCCGAAAATAGTTAACCCGTAAATTCTAATCACACGATAATGAAAGCAAACTATTTGTTTCCAGAAACCATGTGTGAATCTAGACAATGAAAATGTATTTCTGAATCTGTATATTGTAAATATAAGCAACATGACTATCACTATTTCTGTTATTGTCTAAGACATCAACTTTATTTTAACATGTCTCTATTCATAAGATACACTTTTCCATCTAAGTGTGACATAAAATACTGGAAAGGTGAAGCTTCTTAAAATATTTCAATCAAACACCCAAAAGCAAAAAGTGTCTTTCCCAGTGCAGGGGAGGTGCCCACAAAATATCAGCCACATGTCTGCAGAGGCGGCCTGCTCTATGCCGTCAGGCTCCACAGTGGTTAAGATCATACAAGCTGTGTTTATGCGAACACTGTACCACGGATACAAGAAGGAAAGCGCTATCTGGATTTTTAAATGCAGGCTACCTATATACCTATTTTTTAAAATTGAGTAAAACCAAGTAGGTTTTTCTAAACAGATCTATCATTTCATTCCAGGGCAGGATCTTGTTTTTGCCCATGTTTGCCTCTAAAGGGGACTTGCATTCACAGGCCTTTTAGCTTTTTACAGAAGCTGAGCCAGAAATAAGACAACATAAAAATAACTAATAAACAACGCAACATCTTTAAGAATTTAAATGCCTAATGTCATGACAGTGAGCTTTAGGTAAGGATATATTATTAGCAAGCTTTCTCCTCCATGAGTGGACATCATTTGCTCTTCCTAAGATGGTAACATGAGGATTATTTTTCAGGATTCCTGTGGAGTGGTGCTCATTTTATATCCGTGTGAACTGCTGTCATCACTACTGTGTCCAAACCCAGAGGATGAACTGGGAAAGAAGAGAGGGGGAAAATAATAAAAAGAGGAAATTGGTTTTCACAACACACTCAAAGCCTGAGTAACAGAGGAGAACTTTAATTATCTCCAGTCACAAAAGAGAGACAGGAAATTTGGACTTTTAATTAGCCATTTGGAGTGCAGTTGGATATTTTTTTAGCTAGATAATTTAAACGCGAATAATTCAAGTCTGACTAAATGAAAGTCACATAATCAGAATGCAGATAATTGAATTTCTACTGCATTCATTAATTCAGTGTGGAGGTGTGTGTGAAGACTGCTATGATGAGCTGTCACAGCTCAATAAAATCTCAGTCAATTAATTTTTTCATTATCTTAGTATTACATCAACAAAAAAGTGAAGTGTGTCTATATGTCTACACACACGCATATGTGCACTCTGTATTATACAAACACATGCGCATTACATAGAAATGCAAGGAAATACCTTTCTGAATCATAATCTATGTCGTTTTCTTTTTTTCCTTCTTCGTCTTCTTCAGGGAAACGCCGGTTCATCAAGGCAAACTTGTGAATGGCGTCTTCTACGGAGTACTTAGTCTGCCCAGAAACGCAAGCCTCGATGTCTTCCGAATTCAGATGGCTCTGCAGGAAGAGGTGGAGACAGCTATCTGAGAGCAGGAGTGCGTTCTGGAGGACCCTGTGTGAGAGGAAAAGGGAGAAATGATCAGTGGTCGGGGATGGACAATTAGAGGGTTAGGAGAGAGCAACACGTTAGAAGGGTGCCACCGAAGTCATCTCTCCACTGGGCAAACTTTGCATCAATTAAAGACTTTGCCTATTAAAAGGATGAAAGCATATGTTAACTTTTTATTCAATTATTTGGAAATTTAGGTGAGTAAAAACATGAAGCTAATAGTTAAGAACATCTGTTAAAAGAATAACTTCAAGGACGTTTCTTCAATTTAACCATCTGTTATGACCATGTGGATTAATTATGGAAAGATTTTGCTTATGGTCATAGAAATGTGTGCTACTCAAAAAAAATGTTTTACTGCCAACCAGTAGGTCAGTTCTGTGATCTTTTTTGGCAAAGCTGTCATGAAACATCAAAACTTTCAACGACTATTAAAAATTGTATTAAAAAGCCAATACGTCTCTCAGCATGTTTTACATCTTAAAACTTTACGAGTGTGCTTATGTACATGTTTACAAGGGCTGGGTTGAGAGCTGGCTTTTTTGGAAAACCTAAGATGGACTAGAAATCTCTCCATAATCTTTCATGGCACTGTGTTTCTAGTTGTTAAAATACGCCACCAAATAAAATTACTCCAATGATTTTACCATATATACACTTAAAATACGATAATTTTGTGCTAAGTACATACAAGGTCAAAGTTTACAAAGACAGTACAGATTTCAACCGGTGCATCAGAACTACATGGAAAACTAAAAAACTAAAAAAACTCCAACAATTCTATACCTGCTCAAATTCATATTATCACTGAATGTTGTTTTTTTCCCCTGAAATGCATGTTTCAGAACAGGAAATTAAGCCAAAGTACACCCTTACTTTTAAATAAAAACTGGTTTTACCATTTTAGGAAAGATCTTGATGTATGATAATTTCGTCTCTATGAATAGTTCAATAATGATATATTACAAGGCGCTCAGACCCAACAGAGGGGACAAAACTAAAACACAAAAACCTGAGGATAATTTTGCCCAACATGGGATTTTGCACAGAGAGCTCTCTGAAACACAGATTATGTATTTCAGACCAAATGAACCTTCCCTTATATTCTGCATTTCTACACAAATAATTAGAAAAGTAAATCTTTTTTAGCCATTCATGTCAATTTTCTTAAAATCCAAGGTCATTAGAAGATTTCCTTTTCTCCAAAATAAAACAGAATTATTTCTTCAAGGCAAAAGTCTACACATGTATAGCATCATGATGAAAATCTAGCTTCAACAGGCTTCCCAAATGTAGCTTGGGAAAATATTTTTACTGGCCTACTAAAAGGAAAAGTTAAACCTTTGTGCCTTTTAAAAGGGCAAATTCTCCAGCAAAGCAGCTAAGTACTTCCCCTCCCTCCCCACCCTCCGCCCTGGCTTCTCCCAAAAGATGACCATATCACATGATAAAGATTAATTTACCAAGGACAAGTAGTAAAGTAGTAAATCCCTTTACTACTCTTTGAGATTTATTTTCTACATTTACAAATGTTTACCACTCTTGTTTTAAATACTTCAAATCAAGAGAAGATTTATAGGGCAACAACCCATTAATATTAACTCGCATTCGCCGTGAAGTTTGCACAGAGTTTCCTGTGTCCTGTCGGTGGTTTTCCTGCCAGCCACGAACAAGTAACTGCTCATAGGATTAGGCTCACTGTTTTATTTCTGTTGGAAATGTGTTTTATTTTCTTTATAAAATAATAGGTAATCTTTAAAATTGATTTTAGATGGTTCGAGGTCTTACACCACAAAAGTAATGAGCACTAATGCCAATGATATTGGACACAAATTCATTTTAGCTTTATTTCATGTCTAAAGCAATTCTACTGAGCCTTGAACTGCTCACGCGCGGTTATTAACTTGCTAGTAACCTAACACATGGGTACAGCAAACAAAAGTGATCAGAGTCCAGGTTGATCGGGACCTCAAGGCTACTGTCCTTTTTCTTGAACTATAATTCAATTTCCAATTTTACTGTACATTAGACTCATTATTTCCCAGTGTTTTCTTTTCTGCTTACTACTGCCATCTGCAGGACATGCCCATGAAAAGCGAGAGGGAGCGCAGCCCACACACAGCCTGCTCACAATTCTGAAGTGGGAGGATGTGGCCATGGTGGCAGGGAGGCGAGATCTGACCACACGGGCCTGGAGTTAAAAAAAAAACAGGGCCCCTGCTAGGCACGGTTTTGGTTGCTGGAAGGCCCTCTGACTGGCGGGCTAAATTTATGCTACCGTGCTCCATGGGGATGGGTTTTTAAATAAGCAAAATAACTTTTTAGCATATTCGTGATTTTTGCTCTCAGGTATTTCATCTCGCAATTGAGAATACCAAATTTTGGAAATATTTTCCCACCTGGTTCGCTGAGCATAGCTAGTTCATTTTAAGGAGTATCTGGTTTACTGTATTTCAGAGAATGTTGTGACTGCCTGATCATCATAATATTAAATCCTATTTTCACCTTAGTCATATTTGTGCCACATTTTCCACAAACAAATCAAATAGCAGAAAATCAACTTCAAGCTTGATACAAAGAGTACTTTGTAAAACGGTCAATAAAATGTCATCTTTATAAGGCTCCATAAAAATAAATGTATATAATTTTCAAGCCTTTATAAAACAACCAAAAAACAGCCTCTAGAATTTTAAAGAAATGTCTGAAAAGATATTTACAACATGAGCCCAAAGTTATTCCTTTTCTCAAAAACAACTTTAAACTAAACAAAGCAAATCCTGTTTTTCCCTTGAATTGGACACAGATGAAAATCTGGTTTTCCTCAACATGATTGTATTAGGTGTATTATATACTGGTTCAGTTGGGAACAATATACAGCTATGCAAAACCACTGAATCCTAACTAAGGATGCCCTGTCTACTGAACCCAATATAATGATATATACACATATGTACAGAGTGTGGAAGGTTAGCAGTGGGATGTAGGAAAAAAAAATTAATTCAGCCTGTTTACCTCTTTACCATGAGAAAAAAAATAAGACCTACAAATCTTCACTGAAGACATTCATGATCTGTGCTATGGTGCCCTCTATTGAACGCAAAGATTTATAAAAAAAAGTGTGTGTGTGAGTGTGTGTGTAAAACTAGGGTTTCCGTGGTATCCTTTTGTAAAAAACTATAATATTCCTTAAATTTTTAAGAAATACAAAACTGTAATACAAAAGTCTACACTGTAAGGTGCATTTAGTTATAGTAACAGGATGAATTCAGTAAAGAAGGAAAAGCTGGCTCCCATTCGCGGTATGAATCAAACATAAATTAGTAGGACGGCCATGTTTATAGCTAGTGACTTACCAACAGTTTATTATTTTAACCCATAACTTTCTTTTTCCGTAACTATTAGTAGAAGTGACTTACAATTTATAATTAGCCGGGGGTGGAAAAATCCAAAAGTGTGATTATAGCCAAGATGGAGAGAAAATGAATACATTTGAAAAATGTCACAATCATACTGACCAAATTTAGCTAGCTTTAAGAGTTCTAGTAATTATGAACTTGCCAGTTCTGGGAATTAATATGATGCTTCCACCTTTCCTATAATTTCCTTGTGTATATAATCAAGATGATACCCAATTCCTAATAATACCGTAGGAACGGAGATAGAACATGTAAAAAGCTAAACACAGAGCAAGTGTTCAATAAATGGCATAACCTATTATTTGGCACTTAGTCAAAGAAACAAGTTCTCAGTTCCTTTATAAAGACTGGCCTGGATATGTACTTTGTTATTAAAGATGTATAATTTCACCTCAAGGTGAAAAAACAAATTCTAAACTTCTAAGTTTATACTTATAAACACAAATATGTGCAGAGACAGCAGCATTTTGGTTTCAAAGAGTTTGAACATACATAGTGTTCTCGGTTCGAAACTTCAAAACCTCCATAAAAAAACAGATTTTAGAAATACATGCTAAAAACCTACAGCACAAGCATATTTCACATTTTAATGCTGGGGTGTCTTCTGTCTCAAGTTCCTAAAAGTGCTCTACAAAAAAAAAAAGTGCAGGCTATTGATAATGATAATGACCTTCCTTACCGGGCAGCCAGTGGGGCCTCGGGGGGTGTCACGCTGGGATTAGGACCCAGCGCCGAGCCAGGCTGAGCTGCAATGCCGTGTCCAGCCTCCCCAAGTGGGCTTGGGTTGAGGGGATGCCAGGGGCAAAGACCTGCGAGGTTGTTACTTCTACACAAACTGGGCAAAGAACAGGAGCGCCATGCACCAGAATGTGAGAGGCACAGAATGGAGGGTGAGGAGGATCCGGAGGGGCCACAGTGTTTAGGCCATTTAGGCCAGGCCTGAATCCAACCATGTGGTAGGATAGACTCCTTGCTTCCTTCAGGTTCAAACCATGCGGAAGCACCAGCTGTCATCTTTACTGTGAAACCCATCAGCTTGGAGACTGACGTTCACATACTATAGTGGGACAAATGAAAATACAAGGGAACTCGGTGTCTGCTGCGTGAGTGGACTTCTAGGTGATCATCCAGGTCCAATTTCAACAAACTTAGCTATCCCCTGATATGGACACAGTACTTTCCCACGAGAATGGAAGCTTCAAGAGGGTAAGGATGTGTGTCCATTGCGTGCAGTCCTATTTCCCCAGGACCCAGCCTGGCCCGGAGTAGACACTTAACAAATAGGTTTGCAGAGTCCTTTCCAATGCGTCATCTTAACGACACAACCAATGAGGTCAAGCAGTGCCTGTGTTACATGATTGCACTCTTTATAGCAAACTGAGACACACAAGAATTAAGGGACTTTTCCAAGGTCAGATAGCCAGAAAAAATTTAGGAGCTGTGATTCCTGGGAGACCCGGAACCTAGCTCCTCAAGCTTCATCTCCAGGATCCCTTCCGCTAGGATGTCCGCATCAGATGCAATCAGCAAGCAGCCAAATGGCACAGTATGCAGAAATAACGGAGCACCAGCCTGCCTGCCCTGCAGCCGAGCAACCTCACTCAGTCATGAACTTGGTAGATCAACTGTGGAAGGAAAGGTCGTTTTCAAAACAGTGAAGTGATTCCTGGTCAAAAACACACGCCCCATGCCGAACTCCCGATATAAATACAGAGACACATGCCGTCCTTCGGCCTCCAATAAAGAGACGTCTCTACAGAAGAAAAGCAGCTTCCTGGGGCTGACAGGGACTGCAGGATTTGGCTGTCCCCGTCCAGGCCTCACTGCCAACGGCCAGTCTGTGGCTTCCCCGAGCTGCATCTGCACTGACAGGCTGCTCAGCAAACTTAGACTCATGGGCCACATCTTAAGGGAGACACCATCAGCCACCTGGGTCTCGGAGAGACAACAATTAAGATCAGAGCTGTCTCCAAAGGGAATGGGCAGAAAAAACCTGACCAGGCCTTTGTTCTGTCACGCCTGTGAGATCCAAAAGAATACCACTGTAACAGTCCCTGAGGCCTTGGCTCACATAATGGGTGCTTCTGGTCTCTTGTCATTTTTATTCCTCTGGCTTTTTTCCTTTCTGGCCCTCCCTCAATTTATAATCTTGGATGTTTCGGATGTCTCCATGACCCCTTCCCAGGAAAGACACTATATCAACCTAATGGAAATAAATATTAATATTCATGTGCATACTTAATATCCAAACCCTTTATGAGTGAGCCATATGGGGAGAAGGCAGTATATTATTTCAGGCTAGCTGTAAGGTCCCACGTAGTGAACTCCAAGGGAGATTACTTCAGATCCTGAAGTCAGGAGAAAAAGAAAGGGAGCTTAGGAAACTGGGCCCTGCCACCAACTAGTAGTCCCATGACTCGGCCTATTTCCTAATCTATAAAATAGGAAGTTGGAAAAATTAGCTCAAAGCTATTTCATGTCTAAGTGGATTAAAATAATAATGGCCAAGACCACACATTACATGCCAGACTGATGTGAGTGCTTTACCTTCATTAACTCACTTAATCCTCTCAACAACTTTACAAAGTTCCTACCATTATTAACCCCATTTAATGGACGGTAAAATGCAAGCACAGAGGACGTTTAAGACTTGCCCAAGCCCCCAGCCAATAAGTAGCAGAGCCAAGATGTGGCCTCAGTGTCTGAGTACAAACAATGTGCTGTTTCATGGGATGGGTATTCTAGCATTCCAGAGTGGAAAAAAAGAAATTACAGTAGTGCAAATTCAAGTCACTTTAACTGCAGTATCTGCCATAACCAAGCAATCCAGAGTTAATAACCCAAACTATTCAAACACCAATAACTACTCCCTTATAAACAAACATGCCCTCCAGAGAGTACAGTTAAACTCTTTCTTTAGAAGAGCCCAGGAAAGTATTCACTAGCAGCCCATGGTGGAGCTGATTTTGGTCTGTCAGTCCTAAATGTTGTAAATAAAGACAGTTTTTAAGAAGTACCTTTTTAATAAAGCACATTTGCCTCCTGGCAAATTTTACTTTTGTCAGCTAAACTCCCAGGTAATTTGGCTCTGCTTTATAGCTTCAGGGACTGTGCGCAGATTTATTATCTGACTCAATTAGCTCATTGTTTTCCTTCTAGAAGATATGGTCCCGGATGTGCACCATATGATGTGAGCCACAAGATGGAGCTCTTATATAGGAAATGAACTACTGAGCCCGGCGCCTCCAAGATTATCATCATCAGCACTTCAGAATGGTGATCTTCTCCCCGACATAATTATAGGACACTCGACTCTTGCAAAGCACTTTGCTCACAACTCCTGTCTGGCCACAAGAGTTTCTGTGCACTTACTTTCTCAGGAAATCTTCCAAACCCTGACGACGCTGATCTACATGCTGGCGATTATTCATGTTGAAAAACAGGTTTTTAGATGGAAGTTCTGGCAGTTGTCTTATGAGAAAGAAAAAAAAATTATTTTAATCATCAAATCAAGGTGGTTTAGTGACAGAAATCCCTCAAAGTGAAAGCAAATTATGTGTGAGAGTTATCGTGTAACTATCACATAGTTGTATGTGTATTATATGGCATATATATTATAGTTATATAATAAGGCTATGAGAAAATTCATTAACTTAAAGAAAAACCCATTTTTAAACATTTTTGAGGCCTTTCATGGTCAATACTCATCGAGTTGGGGAAATTCAAGTGGTAAATTTTGAATTCAGATGCAGTAGCCAGAAAACTAAAGCTGTATATTGCAATCAAGAAGAAAGCCTACAAAATCCTTCATATATTATGTATCTTAAAGCACAACAAATTTTAAAATGTTGAATGTAATAATAAAGTCTCCTCCATATCACTTATCTAAATCACTTACACCAGCAATGCATTACTTTGGAGTCTCTGCCTCAGCCACACAAATTCTCTGTATCTTCTTCGCACACAGGATGTTTTCATGGTAAAACACATGCTATTGGTCTGTTTAAAGAAAAAGAAACATTTAAGCCTCACTTAGGGAAAAAAAATTGTTTTTTCTTACATCTCTAACTCACTATATGTACCCATATGCATTTTAAAAACCAAAAATACATCTGCATTTATGCTAGACTCCCATCTTGCACAAAACCCACCAGCAGAATATCCCTGAAGGCAGATGGGATGACATCAATGAGCAGTGTTGTCCTGGGGCAAGGCATTACCCCGCCCTTCCCTGAGTCCTGAGGTAGCCTCTTGCTCACCTGTTAGTGCTGCTTTCAAAGATGAATCATAAAAATGAAACAAATCCTGAAGTCTAAATGACCAATAAAAACTCAGGGTTATCCCTTCCATTTTAACACCATCCATCCATCCATCTGTGTAGCTGCAGAAGCCTTTGGGAATTAGAGACCCCCTTCTTACAGCCCTTGATAAGACACCACAAGAAGCCATCATATCCTTGATATGGCTGTCAGTACAATCACACAAATCACCAGGCATCCTGAAATCACTTTTTTGGGGGGTAGAGGGAAGGGAAATTACCACAGTTCAATTGCAAAAGAGCTGCTACCAGCATCAACCCAGACATTTTCCTGCACCCAAACCATGTTTATACGCTGAACATTCTCATCAGACTGTTTCCCCATCTTACGCCCAGATTTTCTTCCAGAACCTATTGGTGTCATCAGTTTTACTTCCAATGTTCTAACTCACTGAATGGTGGGTCTTCTCTCTCTTAACGTTTATCTCCTGTCTGCATCTTGATGGGGGGGTCTTCTCTGACTCTGCTGAGCCGGAAGCAGCAACACCCCAAGAACCATCAGGATCAAGGCAGACATGCCCACCCAGATGCGATTCTCCACTGTGTAATCTTGGTTGTTTGAGGCTGTGATCAGGATGTCCCGGGGAGGGTGAGGCGTGGAGTGGGGGCTGGGGGCCAACTATGTGGAGGAAAGGTTGTGTCCACCACAGCATCCGTACCAGCCCCCATGGGGGGGCCCACACTGCCCAGGGGGAAGTTGGGGCTAGGCTGTCTAGATGCTGGGGAGCTCTTCATCCTGCGACCTCCAGGTGCAGAGAGTCACTGGGGTGTCCTGAACTCACTTTTAAACAAGAGAACAGCATCCTCCTCTACTGGATGTGCAAGGTAGAGTGAGGCGTGTGGTGCAGAGGGACAAGCATCTGCGTGGGGAACCACATGCCAGTCCCGGATCTGCCATTGAGAGGGTCATTCGAACTCCAGTTTGCTGAACGATAAAATGGGGATGAAGGAGTACATACCTATTTCATAAGTACCTAGCAAATGTTTTCTATTAACATTATTATTAGATAGGAGATGTTGGTTTCCTTCCAGCTACCTTAAGGCAGACTTCGAAAAAGCCACCTATGACAGAGTCCCCATCCTAAGCAAAACAGCAATGATTCTCCTTCAGGTAAACCCAAGACTGGTAAATATGGGTGTTTCTCCTTTCTCCTTTGTGTAAACAAGACTGGCAAAAATTTGTCTATTGGTTTTGTAAGGAGATCTCTATTCTATTTCAAAATTGTATTTCATAACCTTTACATTGCCAAATGACAAAATTGTTTGCCCCAAGGTTTATATTCTTTCAAAATTGTTATTATTCTGCCACTTAATAAGCACCCAGCAGTACTTTTCCTTGGCAAATGTAAGTGATTTTGTGCCCAGGTTCTTAAACTGTTCCTGTGAAACGTGTGGCACAGTTCCTGCTACTCCTGAGCTTGATAAAGTTCAGAAAACCTCAGGAGGCAGAGAGGTTAAGACATCTGCCTCCAAAGTAGCTATTGGTCTAAACCCCATCACCTTTGACAATATGGCAGCAAAAAGCACCAGATGGAGTTTGTGGCACAATAACATTCCGTGTGTGGATTTCAAAGCACACCAGGGCCTCACCCTAACGTGACCCTCGGGGACTAAGACAGCAGGCCATTTACACCAGAACGATGCCCTAACAAGCCTGGGCAGACATCTTCTTGGTGCTCCCTCCCCAGAGGCGACCAGGCCACTGCAGGGACTCCTGACACCTCAGGTACGGACTCAGTCCATTTCAACTCCCTTTCATTTCTCTGTTCCCAATTACTGTCGATGTCAATAACATGGATGTCAACTGGCAATCCATCTGGCCCATCTGTAAGTCCTTCCTTTATAGGACAAGGTCAGGAGAGTATATACTGTCCACTAATTTAAAATTCCAAATAAATGCTAAGATTTCAGAGTCATCTGGTATCATTTCTCCTTGAGGTTAGTTTAAATGGGTTAACCACCAGCTTCTCTACCTGCAAAGCTCTATGGGTCTAGCATCTGAGTGAGGCTGACAAAAGCTCTCCAGTAGCCCCCCTCTGCATCCACTCCCAATCATAAACGGGTATGGACAGTTAGGACCAGACTATGCTGAGATCACTAACTTATTAAGCTCCTCTAAATCTATTTGCTTATTTCTGCTATCTACCAAGCCCAGAAGATTTATACATTGTCAATTTATTAGCATTTCAGAGAAATGCCACAACACCGTCAAATAATTTTTGTGGAACCCATCATTTCTGGCTCGAGATAGACATTTCTGAATTCACCTCATGCTATTTATGTAGCAGAGAAAAATCTATGCTTTCATTAACTCCCTGAGGATAATTAAATTTCACATCTACCATAAAGTGTGATAACAGCCCACACATTTTTTGGAGGAATTTAAAAAGGTAACTAAATTTCATTTCATTTTCAAATGCTTAGTCTTACATACTCATGTTATAGTTTTCCACACAGAATGCGTATCTGGTGTGACTTTATGAGTAAAACCAAAGCAAAATCAAAATACAAGGCATACTCTGGCAGTGGCCTTCAACACAATCAACAAAAAAGCAGTTCTTAAAAAAAAAAAAAAAAGCAGTTCTGAGTTTTTAGTTTATTTTCTAAGCCAGGGAACTTGGAAAGAAAAAAAGGGAAGAAAGGGGGGAAAAGTTTTATGGCTGATGCTTGGGTTCCAATATACCAATTTAACTATTACAATGGAAAATTAAAGGTGGCTAAATTTTACTTCATTTGACCTATATACTCACAGATAAAATCTGAGTCTATTTCTATGCTCCCAAGAGAATTCTGGACTAAATCAGATGGGAAAAGTGACTATCTTCATGATCAGGGGCCAATAAACCATAACCTGTGGGCCACATCCAGCCTGACACGTGTCTTTGCAAATAAAGTTTTAAAGTTTTATTGGAACACAGTTACATGTATTCATGTACATGTATGGCTACTTTTCACCCTACCACAGAGGAATTGAATAATTTCAAGAGAGAATGTATGCCCCAGAAACCTGAAGACATTTACTACCTGGCTCTTTACAAAAGTTTGCTGACCCTTGTTCCAGATGATCACAGAAGGCCACACACCACACAGCATAACTCAAAAGATTATAATAAAGTATTATTTCCAGATAAAGTACATCATTTCTAGTTGCTTACTTACATTAATTACTCAGAATCTGGAATAAGACAAAATAATTGCACATGTTCATTTCCTACTTTCTTATTCTACATATAAAACCACCGCATATCAGTTTTCCAGAGAGCTCTATATCCTCTCAAAACCTAAGATTTATCAGGTAATATATTACCCAGAAATATGCTATAACAGATCATAAAGAAATACCATTAATGAGCTATAAATACTCTTTAACTGGGAATTTTAGATGTATTCACACCTTCATACATGAAGGCAATAAACATTAAAATATTAATATTAGCAAAGGTACAATAAGGAACGCAAATGAGTAATTTTCCAGCTTTAGGAGCCATCTGACCACTTCGTTTGAGATACACGCATTACTTGTAATCATTCAAATTCAGTTCTCCGAGTTAGGAAAATTTTTACAAATTTAAATTTTAGGTAGAACAGAGCGTCCCATCAGATGTACACCATCTAAAAATCACTACGATCTACGTAGACTATTGACTGTATACTTACATGAATACATATCTCATAGTCAATATAAGAATGCCAAAAGTCCTCTTTTTGAATCCGAGGATCTCGAACCCAGACGCTTACAAACTCCTGTAAGGGCATCACAAACAAAGAGATGTGTTTCAGAATCACAAGCAGGGCTGGAAAGAGCAGAGGGGAGCGATGGTACCAAAGCAAAACTGAAATGAGCTGCGGTCGTGAATTCTTTAAAAAACAAGAAGTAAATCTAATGAATCAGGCACCACAGGAAGTCCAAAAGCACTGTGCCACAAATGGAATTTTTAAAATAATGCAAAACCAAGCTGGGTGCCCTTCTCGGTAGTCTTACAGGTTATAGGAGAGTAAGAAAGTGTACCCAAAAACTGAGTTTTCCATTTTTAATCATGAAAAATATGTTCAGATTTTCTCAAATCTTAAAAGCAGCCATTTCTTACTTTCTTTATCTCTCTACAGGAAAACTAAATCACTTCCTAGAACAAAATATAAGAGTAGCAAAGGTCATATGAAAAGCAAGCAATGGGAGATGAAAACGACTTTGTGTAGGCAGCCAAGCTTCATGAGAATAAGCAGCAATAACTTATTAATAGGAAGATGAACACCTTTTACCCAATACTTTTCCATTTTTAAAATATATTTTTCCATATAGTAAATCATTTCTTCTTCATAATAACCTCCTGTTATGGGTAAAAGTTAGCAATATTAAAAAAAAATTCATGGCAGATAATCTTGTTCCTTTTTAAAGATAATAAGAATTGGAAATACAGGATAAAGTTTAAAACACAATACTTTCCAAAAAGTGCTCTTTACTAAACAAGCTTAGTTTAAAAATATGAAAGCATGTACAACAATGATCATGTTTGGCATAATAAATTTTAAAGTATAATTTATTCACGTGGTGATCATAAATTTGCTAAATGAATTTAATTATTTTATTTAAAGATTTTATTTATTTGAGAGAGAGAGTGTGCGAGAGAAAGCAAGCATGAGCGGGGGCGGGGAGGGAGGAACACAGGCGGAGGGAGAAGCAGACTCCCTGCTGAGCGCAGAGAGCCTCCCTCCACCCCCCCAGGGCTCAGTCTTCCCCCACCCCACCCTGAGATCACGACCTGAGCCAAAATCAAGAGTCAGACACTTAACCAACTGAGCCACCCAGGTGCCCCTAAAGATTTTATTTTTAAGTAACCTCTATACTCAGCATGGGCCTCAAACCCAATACCCCAAGATCGAGAGTTGCATGCTCTACCCACTGGGCCAGCCAGGCACCCTGATTTTTTTTTAAAGATTTTATTTTTAAATAATCACTATACCCAACATGGGGCTCAAACTCACAGCCCCAAGATCAAGAGTTGCATGCTCTACCGGACTGAGCCAGCCAGGTGCCCCTAATTGAATTTAATTGTAAACATTTAAACTTTTTGTCTAAAAAATGGGGCATCAAAGTTGAAATTTTAGGCATTTTTTACTGCCCTGTTTTGGCACATCTGAGAGGCAGGCTATGAACGCTCTAGAGCAGAAACAGAAGAGAGATTATGGTGTTTTCTGGACAGAGCACCTCCCATTCTGTTACACAGATCATAAATGAGAATTTTTCAGAGGATTTTTTTTTAAAGTAAAAAAAAATAGTTCACGTTCCCTTCTGCCACCTATCAAGTGTCACCTTCTAAGGCAACATGCACTTTGTTCTTGAATTTGAGATTTCTGCCCTACTGCCCGCCTCAGTCTCCAGGGATTATGAGTTAATCTTTCCCAAAGTCTTACTTTAAAATATTTTCATTACGTATTTTTAAAGTCATTTAGAAGACGGATAATAAAAACAAGATAACAATATAATGATGCTCTAAACATGTTTGGCCATTATTTCTCAAAAGCACATTAAAGTCTAAGAGAAGCCGCCCAGAGATGGAAACTG